TGCACTACCAACACCAGCCTATGACTGAAGAGGTAGAGGTCCAAAATAGCACCTTATCACTTCTGATATTATTGTATTCCAGGTGTTTTTTTTAAAAAAAAAAAAAAAAAAAAAAAAAGGTAAATGGCATTACTTTGGTCTCCAAAACAGATGCCAATTTGAACTTTATTCTGCCAGCAACTATTTGGTTTGGCTCCGCAGAGCTCGAGTTGAAAAAATATTTGCCGATTCCAAAAAGATTTAACGAGCTTTGCTGCAGATGCTGGTGCCATCTGGCACGTCACAGGGACTGTGGCACAGCAAAGAGAACTCTCTTGACCACAGATTTTATTTGCTCAAGGTAGCCAACACAATTTGATTGATTCCTTGGGTCAAGAAGTTGCATGAGTGAAGTTTCTAAGAGAAAGTGACCATAGCAAGCCTCAAAAAACAAAAACAAAAACAAAAACAAACACTTATCATTGAAAAAGAGTCACTGGGTCTGACTTCATCCCTGCACAGGAATTGAAGGCTAACTTTCAGATCTGTCAATGACATCCTCACACTAACCATCAGACACAGTGCCTAGCACCACTCATCAGCAGACCAGATAAACTTCCAGCTTCAAGGAAAAACTATCCTTATCCAATAACAGATACTAAAAAATGTGCGGCAGAGTATTTTGCTGTCATCTGATACCTTCCTAATTGTGGCGCCAGAACACGGAATGATCTACGGCAAGTAACTCCACTAAAGACAATGAGCAGCTTTACTTTAGGTTGCAAATACAGACATGTGTTGCTTTGATTAAAATTTAGTAGAATACGATGCCTCACTCTATCACCGTGATGGGAAAGACTGGTCTTACTGCACACGAATATCATAGGTTAAAAGTCACTGAAGTTGGTAGCTGAGATCAGGCATTTCAGCAGCAGTTGCGAGAAAACAAGGCTTCAACGTGTCAAGTCAATGTCACACCTGACGACCATAACAAAAAGAAAAATGCAAAGTATCCCATAATAGTGTGCGCTTAACATCGAATGTCTGTCTCCGTGTCTATGGGGACAGGAAGAGCTGCCCTGCAACTGTCGCCACCTTGCGGTAGGAACAACTCTGGATTTTTTTTGTTATTTCACACGATGAACAAATATACTCATACATAGATGGATCCCATCTCGACTCTTACGGAGATCCCCGAACTTCTGAATGTCTCTTTCGTTAACACCACGCTTCAGTCTGACACGTATTACGTGATTATTTCATGCCATGAGTCTGTACCATCCTCAAGTAGAGAACCAATCTCTGTTCTGCAGGGAGCCAATCTCTCTTTCCACAGAAAGACCTATTCACCAGAACTGAGACCGAGCCCTCTATCTCTAACTGAAATTGTGGAGTCAGAATCAAAGTCAAACGGCAAAGTCATTAAATAATATAAAGATGATTTTAACGGTTATTTACCATTTTGGCTTCTGAATGCATTGGCTGGACTTGGGGAGAGGCACAGGGGTTACTGAGGTTTGGACCTTGCATCCCCATGATGCTGGAGTTCACAGACATTTGTCTCTCCATCTAAGAGAAAAAAGAGCCACAGAATGAGAAATCTCAGAAAGGCGGATGAGGTCGTAGACAAAGCTGCACTTCTCACATGGATTGTTCGGCATTTCTTTGAAGAAATCCTCAGAAAGCCCATGGTTTGGTGTATTCTTAGCAATATACTTTTGAGCCTTGAACCTAAGCACGTCAAAGAACCACCCAAAGCTATGCCTTCTGTAGGAGATGCCCCATGCCAAAGAGAACTATGTTGGCATCGCAGATTGTTTTCAGACATGATGACTGAGTATTCTCACTTTTGCAAACACTTCAGCTACCATTCGCCATGTTTATTCTTATGACTGTGAAGAATATTATATGCATAGACCCAGCCCACGGCATAGCATGCTGGACTGCAGAGCTGGAAGCCAGATGCTGACCTCAGTTCAGCTTCCTATCCCAGATGGCCTCAAAACAAGGGTGAGTGTGCATGAGCCTGGGATCCTAGAAGCGGGAAGACTGGAGAAAGGGGGTTTGTCATGACTGAGGCCTGTGGAGGGTCTTCCTCTCTCCTTCTCTCTCCCTCTCTCTGATTTGCACATGCGCTCTCTATCAGGAATAAAAACAAGACTATTTTATGCACAGAAAGATGCTGAAAGGATATGTAATAGATCACATGGTATCTCAAGATATTATGCACCCCCCTCCCCCGCCTAATTATGCCGTAAGCACAAATCCTTAGGGCAATAAGAAAAAATAAACAAAATTCATTTCAAAAGCAATGTCCTCAAATATGATGGGTCTTCCTGTCTCTGTAGCTCATGGGTCAAATGATCCAAGGACAAGCGCTGGTTTGAGCTGTGAGTCTTCCTTTCCCTGTGGATCTGGTCAGCTTGGGTAGGTGAAGAAAGTGCCCCTGAGGGTTTTGATCTTTACACAAATGAAGGCTCCCTCCTAATCCTCTTGCTGGCCTGCCATCCTGTCTACCACTCGCATCATTCCATACCTGAGTTGGGTTCTGTGTTTTTGTCTCCAGGGTATTCCTACATTTCTATTTCCATCCAGGAAGGGTGTGCCTGATTAATAATATTTTTTGTTGAGTAGAAAATTTGCACTTTTTGAAGAATGAGCAAAAACAAATTCATTTAATACCAATATCACACAGAGAATAATTAGACTTCCTTTGGGAAGAAAAAAAATAGATTCTCTAATATAAATATGTTTCCATTTACTAAAGACTAGAAGCAAAAGCAATGCTTAGAAATGTTAGAGGATCAGGAGGCTGGAGGGTGGCATGGTGGTTAAGGGCACACCGGATTCCCACATGCCCAACCACAGTTTGAGTCCCGGACTTGGAGACTTGCTTTTTCACGTTCCCTCTCTCTTTCTCTTTCTTTCACTCTGTCCCTCTCTGGTCAAATTGAAATAAACGGTTAAATAAAGTTAAATAAAAATAATATATATATATATTTTTTCTTTTTTTTGGAGAGGTTTTTTGCTATAGGGCACGTGTGCTCGCCAAACAGACAGAGAGAGACATAGAGACAGAAAGTGAGAAATCACCCCCCAGGGGGTATGGTCACGCCGCAATCCCTTCTCCTCCATTCTCCTCTTGGGATCTTGGGCACACACTAACACGCGCCTGGCGTGTTTTAAGCCACTGGGTCCGGGACGCAAACCGTGGTCGACTACGTGGGAGTCCAGCGATATAGCCATACGCTAACTGCTAGTTCCCAAAAATAATATTTTTTGAGAGGTTTTTGCTATACGGCAGGTACACTCGCCAGAAAGACAGAGATAGACAGGAAGTGAAAAATCACCCCCTAGGGAGGATGGCCACTCGGCAATCCCTTCTTCATTCTCTTCTTGGGATCTTGGGCACACATGCACATGCGCCTGGTGTGAGTTTAAGTCACTGGGTCCGGGACTCAAACTGTGGTCAACTACATGTAAGTTCAGAGACATAGCCATTATGCCAACTGCTGGTCCCGAATAAAAATAATTATTAAAAAAAAAAAAAGGAAATGTTAGAGGATCAAGTTTCTGCTCAAATTTAGCCAAAGTAGTCTTGGAAAATACGAAGTTTCTTATCACTGGAGGTGTTCAAGAGTGTAGGATGGAAATCTCACAAACAAGACTGAAGCATGGGAGTGACAGGTGCACCAAATGACCCATAATGGTCTCTTCCATGGTTAGGATTCTATGACTGCAATTCCTTTTGTGTCCCTGAGGGGCGGGGTGTAATTATGACATTAATCTGTAGGTTATAAGGCATTAGCTAAAATCTTTCTCCTGACGACAGTGCAGAACCATCAGCCTTACATTAACCTGAATTAGTTTACCAGTTATCTAGCAGGTGTGAAGTGAAACTTCTTCAAGAGGAGCTAACGAAAATGAATGTTTCATACATTCCAATACACCGTTTCAAGGCCTTGCCAATTCAGTAAAATAATATGTTTACTCTCACATATCCCTTAAATCTCTGGGCAGCCTAGATGATAATTAAAAAATTTTTTTTTCTTAATTGTGCTCAAAGATAAACAACATAAAATTTGCCATTTTGCCATTTTTAAATGTCATTGGGTACGAGTCAGTGACATTGGGGCTGGCAGGTGGTGTGGTGGGTAAGGTGCTGGACACCCCCCATGGCTGACCACGGTTCATGTCTTGGACCTGGCGGCTTGCTCTCTCACTTTCTCTCTCTCTCACTCTCCTTCTCTCGTCAAATTAAATAATACTAATAACAAATAAATGAACTAAATAAATATTTTTTAAAAAGGTTCAATGACATTAAGAACTTTTATGTGGAACCAGCAGTTAGCATAATGGCTATGTCGCTGGACTCCCACGTAGTTGACTGCAGTTCGCGTCCTGGACCCGGTGGCTTAAAACTCACGCTGGGCGCATGTGCATGCGTGCCCAAGATCCCGAGAGGAGAATGGAGGAGAAGGGATTGCGGCGTGACCATCCCCCCTGGGGGGTGATTTCTCGCTTTCTGTCTCTCTGTCTCTCTCTGTCCGTCTGGTGAGCACACGCACCCTATAGTGAAAATCTCTCAAAAAAAAAAAAAAAAAAAAGTACTTTTATGTACTCTAAGCCAGGGCTTCCCAAACTCTGTTAGGAGCTGGGCCACACAGCAGGAGGGGAGGGGTGGATGAGGGCTCTGGACTCCTTCGAGTCTCAAAGCTGGAAGCTTGCTTTCTCACTTTCCCTCTTTCTTTCACTTGCTCTTGCTCTATCCTTCTCTGGTCAAATTAAAATGAATAAATAAAGTTAAATGAAATCATTCTTTTTTTAAAAAAAATAAAGTACACACTAAATGTAATGTACTCTAACCACCCAAAAATCATTTCCCCCCAGCCCTAGGTCCATGGAAAAATTGCCTTCCACGTAACAGGTCTCTAGTGCCAAAAAAGTTGGGAACTGCTGTTCAAAGCCATGAAGAACTTAAGGGTGTCATTGCTCAAAAAACTTCATACTACATTTTTTACAGGAGGAGAGAGAGAAAAAAAAGAGAGATAGGTATTTTTTTACTTTTTTTGGGGGGGGGAGATTTTCACTATAGGGTGCGTGTGCTCGCCAGATAGACAGAGAGAGACATAGAGACAGAAAGTGAGAAATCACCCCCCAGGGGAGATGGTCACGCTGCAATCCCTTCTCCTCCATTCTCCTCTCGGGATCTTGGGCACGCACACACACGCGCCCGGCGTGAGTTTTAAGCCACTGGGTCCAGGACGCGAACCGCGGTCGACTACGTGGGAGTCCAGCGACATAGCCATTACGCTAACTGCTGGTTCCCGAGAGATAGGTATTTTTTAATTGACATGTAATAATTGTACGCATTTATAGGGAACAATGTGATTTCTTTTTCTTTTTTTAAAAAGAATTATTTATTTAATGTTATTTAGTCACTCATTTATTTTCATTTGACCAGAGAAAGACAGACACACAGAAGGAAAGTGAGAAAGCAAGCCACCAGGTCTGGGACTCGAACTGTGGTCAGACATGTGGGAATGTCCAGTAACCTTAACCACCACGCCACCTGCTGGCCCACAATGTGATTTTTCATTATGAGACCATAATGTGTAGCGATTAGATCAAGATAATTAGTATATCTGTCATGTCATCCATTTGTCATTACTTTGTGTTTGAAATATTCAAAATCCTCTGTTTTTAGCTACTTCGAGACATATAGTAAATTAACTGTTATATTCACTCTACTGCATTTTGTAATACTAGTAATTGTTCCTCTTCTCTACCCGCAATTTTGCTTCTATTGATCAACATCTCTCTCTTCTCGCTCCTTTCCAGCCTCTAGTCATCATTCTTCTACTCTCTACTTTTATGAGGTCAGTGATGGGTAGTTTTGTTCTTTTAAGGTTTTTGCCATGGGGCATGTGCACTCGTTGGAGAGAAAAGAGACAGAGCGAGATAATGAGGGAAAACGAGTAGTCACCTCCAGGGGGGATGGCCATGCTGCAATCCCTTCTCTATTCTCCTTCTAGAACTTTGGGCACACATGCCTGGCGTGATTTTCAAGCTGCCAGTTCTGGAACTCTAACTGGCGTCAGCCATGTGGGAGTCCAGCCTTAACTACTATGTCATCTGCTGGCCCAGACAGGTATTTTTGACAGGGTCTCCCCAAGTTGTGATCCTGTCCCAGCCTCCCAGTTACCTAGGATTGCAGATGCACACTACTGCACCTGCAGAGGTTGCTCCAACTGAATCTGGGCTTCCCATGCAGCCTTAGCCTCCTGCAGCAGCACCCCCACCTCACCCCTTAGGGCTCCTGCAGTAGCGCCCCTACCTCACCCCCCTCAGCCTCCTGCAGCAGTGCTCCTACCTCACCCCCTCAGCCTCCTGCAGCAGCACCCCTCCCTCACCCCTCAGCCTCCTGCAGCAGCACCCCCACCTCACCCCTTAGGCTCCTGCAGTAGCGCCCCTACCTCACCCCCCTCCGCCTCCTGCAGCAGCGCCCCTCCCTCCC